ATCCTTCACCTTCGGACTTATCCAAAATAAAAACTGCGATCAAATCTTCGCAAATCATTTCAAGCAACTTAAAACATTCGCTTATCCCATCTGTTGCGAATTGTGCCAGATTATATGCTCTTCCCAAAATTCATAAAAGTGGTATTCCTTTCCGCCCTATTGTATCAAATTTAGGTATTGTCTCGTATCCTTTAGCTAAATATTTAGTTTCTAGATTTTTCACTCTATTAGACAATAACATTTACAACCATAAAAATTCAATAGAGTTTGTAAAAAAGGTTTTAAAAACATTTCTCCTAGTAATTTACTCATGGTTTCTTTTGATGTAAAATCATTATTCACCAATGTCCCAGTGGAGGGTGCATTAAGATGTCTAGAAACCAGACTTCGCGAATTTCATTTGTCTTGCATCGAAATTGATGAGCTAATTTCTCTCACTCAACTCTGTTGGAAACAAACACATTTTGTTTTCCAAAATAAATATTACAAGCAAACTGAGGGATTAGCCATGGGAAGTCCCCTCAGTCCCATCCTGGCTGATATCTACACGCATTATTATGAATCAAAATTGTTTGAAACTCTAAACTTCCCGGCATGGTTCCGCTACGTAGACGATACTTTTACCCTGTTTGAAGGTAATAAAGATGATTTAAATAAAGTTCTTTCAACAATGAATTCTATTCATCCTGCTATTCAGTTCACTTTTGAACTTGAGACTTGCAATTCTCTTCCGTTTCTCGACATTCTGGTCACACGTAACACATCCAACTTCAGTACTACAGTTTACCGTAAACCTTCATCGGTTTGCCTTCCACCACACTTAAATCATGTCATCCGACTAAACAAAAGTTAGCTTCATTTTATTCCTATGTTTTCCGTGCTCTTCAAGTTTGCTCCTCCAAAACTAGCCCTTGATGAAGAACTAAATTATTTAAAAGCAATAACTATTGACAGGGGCTTTTCACCCAAACATTATTAATCAAGCAGTTAAAAAATTCTCATCTCAAACACACTAAAAGCCACACTCTTATTTTAGGAGATTATAAAAATTCTGTTGTCATTCCCTTCTTTCCATCAATTAGCTATAAAGTTGCACATATTTTGCAGAAATTTAACTTTCGGGTTGTTTATTCTCCCATCAATAAAAATTCCAACTTCTATACTCAAGGACCCCCATTCCGGATATGAATTCCTGGGGTATTTATAGGATTCCTTGCCAGTGTGGTTTAATTTACATTGGCCAAACTAAGAGAGCCTTAAAATTTCGCGTCAAAGAACATGAGGCATATGTTAGAAAAAAGGAAACACAGAAGTCTTCTGTTGCTCAACATTGTTGGTCCGAAAATCACACTTTCAATTTTTCTGCTGCCAAAATTATTCAAAAAACATCTTCCATTGGAGAACTGGATTTTCTAGAGGCATTTCACATTCATAAAAATCTTTCTGTTCTAGTTAACGATCCTAATTCCAATCCAAATTTGCCTTCGGCTTTTAGAGAAATTATGTTTTAGTTCTGGTTTCGCCAACAGATGGCGCCACTTGCTTATTCTTGTACAGGCTTTCTTATCTTATCTAATCATTATTTCCTATCTTGTTCATTTGCGGTTTTGCAGCTGAAGATGATGGTTCGGTAAAACCATCGAAACTAGTCCTGTGAAAATTTTGTAGGTATAACGCTGATTTTTGTTGTTTGACTTCTGAATTAGTATTTATTCGGCGTGTTATTGTGTCTTAATTATAGTTTACATTATAATGAAATATATCTCCATTTGAAAAAACGATTTTCGGTCGTTCATATATAGAGAGAAAGCGTCGTGAGTTGCGCTATGATAACTTGATGTCGTTATATACTGTATTACGGTTTTTATATAATATGAAGCATAGGTACCACAACTGTCAGCTAGTTTCCAATTTCACGCTATCTCTTCTGAGTTGAAACTTTCAAATTTGGTATTAAGGTTTTCCAACTATCAAAGTCACTCATTTATGAATTACTCTCAATTTATCCATAAAGTTTAATAATCCCTTTCGATCAGGAGTAAATTATATTTACGCTGTGAGACATATAGTGTTACTGCATGTTGAAATTAAAAGCGAATGAAGCATATATCGATATAGAGCGTTTAGTTTTGCAACTAACTGTTTTTAAGACTCATCGATGAGAATTTATATAAATTGTTTTCAGTTCCGAATTTTGAGTAAATTACTGATTTGAAAATCTAACATCCCATTTAAGTAATCGAATTCAAGGAGTTTACATGAAGTATTCATAATTTAATAACTTAAGAACACATTTATTTTGACTTGAAATTTTCCGAAACTTTCTTTTTTTCTTAGAGTACTCGTTCTCAAAATACAAAAAAGACCCAGATTTCTCATATTGAACAGAAAACGAAGCTCCTGGAACTGATCAGAAACGCATGAAACTGTCTAGAATTTCTGGAATTTATCAGCTATCCTTGCTTGGGAGCTGCTGGTGATTAGCCACTCGATTTACTGTCGCAACACCAAAGCTTTACATGTCATCTTATATTCTTCAGTAAGTCTTCGAACTACTTTTTAGGTTCGCTAAAAAACTTTCTTGTTTGAAAACGGGACCACACATTGAAGTCGGGGTCGGATAGTCGGGCGATTATGGTGGTCATAGATTCCTAGGAGGTACTGCGATTGTTACAGACTCCTTTGTTCTCGAACATCAATTTTCGTGACGTGTGACAGACAAGTCGATAAATCTTGCTACCAGTATTCATGTGACTTTCCTCTCCTTTTAAGAGAGTACAGAAAAACCTTTTGTAAAAGGGTTCTTTCTGTTCTAGTTAACGATCCTAATTCCAATCCAAAATTGCCTTCGGCTTTTAGAGAAATTATGTTTTAGTTCTGTTTTCGCCAACAGATGGCGCCACTTGCTTATTCTTGTCCAGGCTTTCTTATCTTATCTAATCATTATTTCCTATCTTGTTCATTTGCGGTTTTGCAGCTGAAGATGATGGTTCGGTAAAACCATCGAAACTAGTCCTGTGAAAATTTTGTAGCTATAACGCTGATTTTTGTTGTTTGACTTCTGAATTAATGTAAACTATGTTTAAATAAGTTTTTTGTTTTTTTATTTTTCTGTAGTTTATATTTCTTGTATCAGCTCTTTCCAGAATGCAATTTAGCTTGAGTTTAAGGAAAGGATGAACTTGTAATTTAGTGACAGTATTATAGTCACACTCCGTCACTATAAAACTGCCACTAAATTACACCTGTATTGTGTAAAATTGTACTGTTTAGGCTACAGCGAAGAGCTTCTCACCTAGACCGACAAGAAGATTTTGTGAGTGAATTTTTGTTAGAGGGTAAGACTGAAATTCCCATCATCTGTAGCCGAATTATTCAAATAAAAGTCAGATTTTGTGTTACATTCTTTTAAACATTAATTGAATTCTTGGAATCTTAAGAACAGCTGTGGTTAGTACTTGATGAGGTTTAGTTGTACTAAATGTAGTTTTCATAAGCCTTTGGAATAATTTTCACCTTTTTCACTGTGTTACTGACGTTATTTAGACTTCTAGTTTAGTTTATGAAGGTGTTATTTCGTCAGAATAAGAAATCTTAAACAGGTGAATTTAGACAGTTAATTAGGCTTAACTTCGCAATACTATCAGAACCTAATATGTTCGATTACATTATGAACTCCGTTTTCCATTTACATGAGTTTTCTGCCATTCTTTATTGTACACATATTTTTGAGTCACGCTCTATAAAATGTAATGCTTTCACTGAGAATTACAATCTTCTTAGATTAATGCTTTTGCTACGTTCGAGTTGAATACAAAGCTCACAAACAATAGACATTCAGCAGTCACTAATGTTCTATTACATTTCTGTTCCAGTTACAACTTCATATAAAAATAAAAACACATGGGATAGAAAGCAAGCGGAAAACCCAAATTGCTGTTTAACACTTTGAAGAATTTATTATTAAATATTTCAGAAATGGTTTTACTTTAAAATTGCAAAATTTAAAAAAATAATATTTAGGTAAACATTGAAATATGTAATTCGTATTCATAGTCTCAGGACCTGAAGCAGTTTCAAACTAAACGGTTACTAGTTCACAAGCTAGTGCCTACTAATTTAAGAAAGAAATTCAAGGTTCAAAATATAAAATCATCTACTTGAAAAGAGCTACTTAAAATGGCGGCAGATGATAAGAAAAATTATTCTATGTTAATTACTGCTTAGTAACTTTTGTACTGCTGTTCAAGAACTAAATATGTATTTTATTTTTTTTATTTCCGATGCACATTATAAGAAATATTTTATACACTGAAAGGAAATGGCAATAATTTATATCTTGCCAGGACAAGAAATTCCCATATTAAAAATGATGACACCATCTTTAAGGCATTAATATTATTCATATAACGTGATAAATGCCTACCGTCTTTTTCGAGCACCATGTGCGGGGTAGAGTTTGAGCATCTGAAGTTGCTAATAGAAGCAAATGATAGTAGTTAATATGTCTACAAGCGCATAGGGAATGATGTGAAAGAACTTAATAAAGATGTACATTTGACAACTAACTACAAAGGGATGCAAAGGTAGTGACAAACTTTCCACGTTAAAAGGTCTTCTGAAAATTAAATTTTATCGCGTTCGATAACAATTTTCGGAAAGTCTAAAGTAGCAGAGCCTTTTTTCTGAGATTTCGCTTACGTAGGAAGTTTTATTTCGAATGCCAACTAGAAATTCTTTATAACTTAACATTGCAGAAGAAGGTTTGTTTCTCTCCCTCATTTGTTTGAGATAAGTTCAATTCGACGCTTAGACCTTTCCCCTTGTTTTCTAAACTTCGGGTAAAATGTTGTGTGTAAAATAAGTCTACCAAAATGTATTTTAGCAGTTGCAATTTGCACATGGATAGAAGTTTTCTCAAATATTGTTAAATGTCAAGTGCCCATAAGAGTTTATATTAATCTTGAACAACTTAGAAGCAAAGAATGAATTTTTCCTACCTTTCCATCAGAGCCCTGTTGCACTCTAACTCCACATTTGTTGAAATGGTGGACATACATAGCGAATGAAGTTTTCGGATATCCTTGAGCCTCGTTGGGTCTCATGGCGCAATCGGCTGGAGAGTAGTTGGGACCTGCTGCATCCTCGAAGACAGGCTGGGAAGTGTACTCAGGAGGAGGAACAACCACAGCAGAGAAGAGAGTTACACCATTGGATCGTATACAGTTTATATCTGCATATAGGGAAAAGAGTTTACTGTAATTTACTGTTTATTGTAGTCAGAATGGAAATTATTGTCTTGATGCTATAATTATTGCCTTCTAAAGAATTGAAGGAACAGTATAATCCGAAATAACTAAACAGTAAAATTAATAGTTATTTACTATGATTTGACGGATTATAAACTGAAAAGAATGTTCAGTACCTTAGCAAGAACTTAAAAGTTATTCCTTTCTTATTGCAAACTAAAGTACTTCGGCACTTTATCTAGTGCCATCCTATTATTCACTTAGCCAGATTTATGGTTAGCCTGGGATTTGTTTTCAAAGCAGATAAATCTCAAGTCAAAACAATACTAATTCTTATCCATTCTTAAAAACTTCTTAGCATCGGTTGAATTACCCAGATTGCACATGACAGCAGAACTACATAAAGTAATTTAACACTTAAGTAATTTAAAACAAGGGCTGCAAGAAAAAATAACCCAGTGCTTATGGTACAAAATTGGATGAGATACTTATAGTTTCAAATAACTCATAACCGAAATGATATACAACTTAATTCCTCTCTCATTGAGATAGATCTAAAAGGAAACGTAGTAGAATTTCATTGACCACACAAAGTTAGTCATACTTTTGGATCCAGTCTAACGCTACTAGGCAAGCTTTCAGATGTTCTTATATTCGTCCCGTGCAAAGCAGTGGACTTCCAACGATGCTTCTATTTACTGCTTTAATTTGAAACACGTTTTTACCAAAAATGGAAATGATCTGAGAAGCAGTGCCGAAGATTTAATGATTTCTTCTTTGATTCGGTGTAATTTAGTAGAAGAAATGTAAATTATCCTACAACAATTACATAAAATATAGAAATAATTATATTACAACGCCTCTTTTGAAAGCATACACGAAAGGCATTTCTTGAAATTCTTTCACGTATATGACTAACCTTACGGACGTAAAGTTATTTATCAGATTGGCCAACGAAGTTGCGAAATTACAGAATTATTTCATATACGTTTAATTTGATTTTATGTCACAAACGTTTCGCTTTTGAAGTAATGCTTGGGGCACAACAGGTCCACATATGTACTAGTGTATGAGGATTTTACGTGAAGATCAACGGCAAAAGGGTGGTGTACTTTCTACTAGCAGCTGCACCTTATGTGTGTTTGGGCACTTATGTGTGTATGGGAGTAAAAATTCGCAAACCGAAGTTAGAATGGCATATTAACATTGAATTTTATGCAAAATTCTGAAAACAAACCTGAACAAATATCAGAAGTGAAATCGATTGTGAAGAAGATACCTTGAAAAATATATTATCTGAGTGCCTTGCGAGATATAAAAATGGGAGAAAAGATACGATGGAAAACTAAGAATCAGACAGCCAAAAATAGCAATGATGATTGTTAATGTTAACAGAATTCAAACAGAATTCAAAAGCCCTATCTACCAAAGGGCTAAGGGTGAGACTGATATCTGACGAACTATTTATAAGTCGAAAAATAATTAGGCTGATTTTAATTGAAACACTGAGCATGAAAAAGTTCTTTATCATCTACGAATTTTGTGTTTTACAACAATGCATTACATACTGCGCTCATTTAGAGAATGCCCAAAAAAAGACTACTTTACATGATCATGTCTGTTCATCTAACAGATTTCGGTCTGATTTCTGGTAGTTTTCAAAATTTAAAATTGTATTGAAGAGATGAAATTATTCTAAAATAATTTATGTTCTAGCAGAATACGACACAGATAGTCAACAACATTCTTAGTTATAGATCTGCTTCCAGAAACGAGAAACACTGTCAACGTATAGATTCCTAAAAGAAGGACTTTGAAGTCGGCAATATCCATTAGTGTGCAGTTTCACCTGCGTACTTTTAAGTTTTGTCACAGAATTTAATTATTACACTTTGCAAAAATTAATAACAAAATATTTACCTTCTGCATGTACTCCTCCTCTGGTAACGTGATCTTGCTCTATCAGATTAATGGATGGATGTTGGTAGTGGTGGTGAGTTTGAATGGGAGCAGGAGGCTGTACTACCAAGGGTGCTGGTGGTCGTCCTTGGTCCAGAGGAGCAGGAGGCCTGGGAGGTTGAGGCCGCTGAGGTGGTCCAAGAGGAGCAGGTGGCTGGGGTTCTGATAGCCAAGGATCTGAATCACCCCACCACCCGAAGCGATCAGCTTTCTTCTGAAATGAACGAGGAATAGAATTTTATCATTTACTTTTAAAATCAAGATATAAGCATCTAGTATTTTAGATTTTTTTTGGACGTAATTGCATTTTGCTTAGAAGAAAAGTATAACTTTCGGGAGGAAAACATTTTACATCGTCTCTTTTGTCATATTGTTAAATTACACTTTAATTTCGTTGACTTTTTTATGTATAACCGACTTTATGCCATTCAGTCCGCAGCACATAACGCACATTAGGTGGAAAAAAGCAACTAAAGTTTAAATTAGCTTTGCATTTCTAACATCTTACCTTTCTGGAATTTTCTGACAATAATTTAATATGAAAGTCTAACTGAGAATCAATTGAATTTGATTTCTGCTTACTGAGTTCTTTTTAAAAATATCTATACTGCAGTTGTTATCTTCAGCGCAAGAATATAGGGAGAAGAATCATCTTAATATTAGATTGCAGTTGCAAGTACTTGTCGCGCAAAATTTCAAACAATTGGATTAGAGGTATATTGGTTTTAGACATGTATATTTATCTACACAGGATTATTCACAACTCCGTGAAGCCTTTTAAATATTCACATCAAATAAACTGTTTACTTATTGCATTGAAACAGAGGTAAATGAACTATGCGTTTCCTCGTATTTCACAAAAGCTTAGTGTGACCGTTTTGACTGATGCTGCTGACGTCTATGCATCCACTTGGTGTATTTACCTACATATATTGGAAAGATAAATTCTGTCTAATTGTGATGGAAACTGTCGGGATTATCTCTTTCAACAACTTAACTGTCCCTCTGACTATTACAGATATAACTTGTTAGACTATCTCAATATTAACCTGCCTTACGAGATGAGCAAGCCGAGTAGATGATGCATTGATATGAGTAGATGAGTAAGAAGAGTAGATGGTACAAGGCAATGGTCAAGTCGACTTTCAGATTTCATTCCATGTGAAGTTTTCATATGAAGATTTGTTGTCCTTGTACTTCTACTCGCCACTAATAAGTGAAACACGCCATTATGTAGCATTTAATATTAGACAAAAAGCAACCTTTGTTCATGGAGAAAAGAGAGCAATGTCAAACTAGTCTTTAAATCATGAAGTTTTATTAAAAATATACTCGAGATTAAGCCTCCTTTTTATTACCTAATTTTAAATCTTCAGGACATTCCATATCATGATAGTGTGACTGTATCGACTTGAATCGTATAGCACAGATAAGTGCATAGATATCTGTCGTATCTATAAAATGTTAAACCTGAACATCCGTGAAATATGTGAAAAAAAAACCTTCATTTGTTTTCTATTTTTGTATAACAAAATTCAATTACAGTCGCATAATTTATTTGTTATGAATTTTTTAAATACTTCCCTGAAATTACGAATAACCATGCGTATTACTTATCTTTAGTTGTTGACAGTTTCAGGCATCAAAATTTTGTTTTGACACAATTCATTCGTATGATTTAATCGAAGACGTTGCCCAAAAGTACTACCAGAGAAACGAACTTAAAATATAATCGTGCAGAAAGTAGAGCTCATGGAAAATCTTAACAGTTTACCAAACATAGCAATTTTTATTCGAATCCTCTACCAATTATTTTGATAATTATTTGCAACGAAATATAATAAAAGCATAACGATTAAAAGTCTATGAGAAAGAAAAATGCACCAATTTAAACTGAGCGTAACAGCAATATTGTTTACTGTTCAATTTTTATTTATACTCAGTTATTTAATGAGAATTTAAGCTTCATTTTGTTTGTACCAAATCTGAATCAGAATTTCAGTTTTATAATGAGATAAACTTATCCTTAATTAAATTTATCGATATAGAATTGAAACGAGAAAAAATTCACAAACTGATATTAAGTTGGAAAAGAGAAAACACTGAACACAGATTCTCTGAAGGATATAAAACTTTACAACAAAACCACTGTAAATCTTCAGATTCAATTTTGGTTGCTTTTAAGTAATATATAATTTAAAATAACCATGAAAGGAAAAATTTTGTTTTCAAAGAAATGAAACACGAATTCCACATTTTAAATTAATTTCGAATTTTAAGAAATTTCTCGAACGTTACTTTTGTCTTGTCTTGTTGATCTTCCAGTGAGGCTCTCAAAAGAACTTGACAGAAAACTCCCCAAAAAATTAAATTCTCAGAAAAGTGCCGCATATCGGATTCTGGAAAGAAAACAAGTGGAATAAATTTAAATCGCATAAATAATATGAATATAACGGTGTAATATTCAAAATACTATTTAACATTAAGATAACATTCGAGTAAAAATAGCAGAATAATTTTACAAATTGTACTTTTAAATATAATAAATATTATAAAAAAAATACTTACATCAGGAAAATGGAATGTCTAACTGTATTTTGAAGTAGTCAGAAGTTAATTCTGTGGTATCAGCAAAATTCATCAATAATATAAAAGCAACAATCAAACATATATAAAACAAAATAACGAAATTATTTCTTTTATTTGCGTAACCCCTAAAAGTAAGTACTACTAATAATAATAAATAATATTGTTTTTATTTATTGTACTGGTATTAAAAAAATAAACTTTTCATTGGAAAAAAGCTATATATATACAACAAATTACCTTCATTCAACCAAAATTAAACTACCCACTATAATGTAATGAAATAAAATAAGAAAATAATGAAATTAACGAGGCACTGAGTATTGCATTCATAAGTTGGAACAAAGTAAGATTTTACTGCAAAAATTCGTTAAAATCAATGCAAAAATGAAACACGCATAAGATGTTGAATAAAACCTTAATTTTACTAAACGTATTATAAGCCAGTCCCATGCGAAGAATCTTAAACCATACGATCCTCACGTCCCACTAATGCTGCCCGCTATTTATGAAAGAAAAATTAGCTAAAAGCTGAAGCCATGTTATTTGAATTTAAAGAAGAACTGCTCATCAAATGATTTTTAATGAAGACTTTTCCTTAAACGAACTGAACACAAGTTTTTAGTGCTAAAAGAATTAATGAACTCTAATAACTAAAGTTTAAGTTTAAATTAATTGTCGAGAATTTCAAATGTCAGCGAATGTCAGAGAATTTCAAAGAATGAGTTTTGAAACAGAATCGATACTCTGTATTCTCACATTTAAAGTAACAGCTTAGATGACTTCCCAAAGCGTATGAGGGCTATCTGTCTAAAGGGAGGACTTTCTAACTAACTAAACTGAGCGTAACAACTAACTAAACTGAGCCTAACCCGTATCTACGCGGACACATGAGAAAACCACAAAAACACCTATGCAGCCAGCCCCACTCTCCGAGATTTGAAGATTTGAGATTTGAGGATCGAACAACCAGTATTCAGTGACTTTATCGCAACTCTTATATATAAGCTTCCAGAAAATACTGAATACAGTTCAGTATATTTGCCTTTCCATTTTCATTTGATATTAAATTTGTATGTACAAGCAAAATTCATTTAAGCAAACCTTTATAAATTGTCACTTAAACAAAGAAAAACATAAAAGCATTTCACAAAATTAATTTCCTGACTCTTCTTTTTATAAGTGGATTTTATATGTGAGAACTAATTTTCTCCGTACAAAGAAGAAACCAAGAATAAAACTTTCAGACGCGCAATCTTAAAGATGTTCATACATTCTATGATATCTGTAAACTGAATACAACACTGTGCATAAAAATTATTTTAAATAAGACGGCTTTAGTTAAAGGCATTAAAAGTTCAAAATAATTTTGTAACCAACATAATATTCTTAATCATATATTGTTAAAAGTTAGAATCATAGGTCTTCTAACAATGATTAATTTTAAATAAAAATTATCTTAGAGAGATTTGAGTGAGTAAAAACTTTTAACTTTTTCTCAGTTAGGAAACAGAAGAAAACCTTCTGTGCCCTCGGAGGGGTTTGAACTACGAATCTTCCAGCTGGCAAGTATATATACTAACCACTTACTCTACGAGACAATCCACGGAAGAATGCGATAAATTTTTGTGTACTTCCCTACTTAAGCAGTTAAATTCTGTGGCGAAGAATTATCTTCCACCATACTTTAATACACTCAATATATATAGATAATTATATAATATAGATTAGATACAGTTCTGGCATATAGATTACTGGCGATTAGATTAGTTCTGGCGTCTCGATAACTTAAAATTTTTTATGTAGAAAATGTGCAAAATCCACTGAACTCTCGTCAGGTTTCGAAACACGAATTTTCTGTTTGCTAGCTGTTCGTGTTAGGTCACTTACACCGTGACAGATTTCAGGGAAAATGCGATAATTCCTTTTATTCTCCCTCATTTAAAGGATGATTTATCAACGGCACAAGGCTCAGTTGACCAAACCTAGAGAGTGACAAGTAATCACGAACACTTTGGTTTGATGCCTCTGTGTAGACTTTTAAGATATTTAAATTAGGTTAGGTTAGGTTATTTAATTACTGCAAATCCTCGAGGGCTATCTGCCAAAGGGAGGGATACCTTCGTGGAGGATTTTGTAAAGGAAACTGGCTCGTATACACGTATATTCAATTTAGAAAATGAGGAGAATCAGCTAAATTCTCTCTTGGATTCGAATCGCAAGTTTTATATTTCCTATTTGGATAGGCTAACCACTTACACTAAGAAAGAACAATGGAGAAAACAATAATTTCATACAAGTGGAACGGAACTGGATTCAGTAATATTTATAATGTGATTTCTACAAAATTATTTCTAGTATTTTTAAATTTCTGTTTATGGAGTTTATGGAGCGTAATTCATCGCGCCATGATTTTATGGTTGATCACATTTGACTAAGACTATCATAATAGCTAAAACTAATTTTCCAATTTAAGTGCATTTAACTAGAACGGGATAATATAAAATGCTGTGTTTCATTTCCTATTGAAAACAAATGCACTGATAATATGCAGAAAAATTATTCCTTGTAAACGGTACAGGAAATGAATACGTGTCCCGATGTCTTTTTCCAATTTTTCTGACTTATCTGATAACATCCATTAACAGTTCGTTTAAATTTAAAGTTAATTTAAAGTTTTTCATGATTCATTTCCTCAATACTTCTTAAGCAAAAAGGGCATGTATTATTTACTGGCATGAAATTACCGTAAAAGAAATTTGTCTAATTTCCCTTCAATTTTTCTGTTAAAAAAGTCGAAAAAATTTGTATAATTTAAAAGGTTCTTAATTGTTTAATTCTGCGTATCGTTAAAATTTATGCTACTTTTGACAGAGGAAATAAAAGGGCTTTTTGTAAATAAGCACAGATTTTATTCGGTTTATGAACTTAAACTAGCTTATCATATGCGTAGTAATTAAGAGTCAAGAAACAAAAAAAAAAAAAAAAAAAAAAAAACAGGATGTTTATGACGATACAAAGTTAATATTATTAAGGAATAGGTTTGCCTCCAAAATCCGATTCCGTATTTAATTAAAATGCTAGGAGTGCTAAGAAAGAAGGTTTAAACCTTCTGATTTATCAAATTTTGAACGCAAATTTCTGTGAAATATTGCATTAGCATCGCGTATATGCGAGAATGAAATTTCCAAGAAAAATGAGTCTCTAGACTGAGAATAATAAATAATTAATTTCAAGATTTGTACCAGACAAATTAATCAACAAAAACCAGCAGAAAAGTCAACGAAGAAAAATCGGGTCAAAATTTTAAATGCTATATTCCAATAAAAATGATGAATTAAAATTTTTCTTAAAGAAATAATAAGCTTTTCGATTAAAACGCAAATGAAACTTTAATAGATATAGTATTAATATGTAGGTAATTGGTTGTTAAATTTTGTATGCGACCTGGACATATTTTAAACCAGGATTCAATTCTTTGCACATATCTTTGTTGGGCTATATGACCAATAATCTTCGAAATAGCATGCATTGGTTGCTGAAAAGCAGAACAAGCAAACTGGATTTCAAATTGCTTGATATTCGGAATAAAAAGTTTGGAAAAGCACTATTTTTGGCTATGTTACTGTTTTGAAATAGCCATCTCTATTTCATGACAATAGACTCATGATGATCTTCTAGAGGCATTAGTTTATTTTGAAGCAGGAGATGTAAAAAATGTGCAACGCCCTCGCCGTGACTCGAGCCCTAGACCGATCGTATACGTGCCGAGTGTGCTACCGTTACACCATGACGGCATGCTGGAAGCGAGGAAGAAAACATCTTATAATCTTTCCTAAGAATTAAACACTGTCCTGTTTCTTTTTGCTGCTATTCCTTTTAGTTTAGTACGTAGTGTCCTAATACTTCTTTCTATTTAGTATACATCACAGTAATTGATCTAGTTCAGAAATTTTAGGTCAATTTTAATTCACAAGAATAAATTTAAATATTTCAGTTTCTTAAGTGCAGCTGCTGTTGAAGCTTATTGAGATTTCTTGTTTTTAGAACTGTTCGTAGCTTTTGAAGTTTGCGCGTACGCTGCTAAGTGCCGGTAACGGAGATTTTTTAAAAAAATTAGTAGAATTTAAATTAGATAGCTAGAGTATATCCAGATGCTACTTGATATCTAGTTACAATTATAATTTTTAACGTTTTTTAAGCCTGTGGTGAGACATTTTCTTGTAACTTAAAGAATCTTTAAATTTTATATACCACATTAATTAAATTTAGGTCAGATAAATAATTCAAATTAATATATAGATAATTATATAATATAGATTAGATACAGGTCAAATACAGACCAAATATACATAGATATAGACCAAATATAGATCATATAAATATAAATTCAATTCAAATCAAATATAGATCATATAAATATAAATTCAATTCAAATCAAATATAGATTCAAATAAACCTTTTACTATTGGTAAGCTGTTGATAAGCTTTTTGCTTTGATTTCTATGTTGCCTAAATTAATCAATTATATTTATATCCAATCTAACCTTCGTTAGATAATTCGTTAAAGCAGATAGCTTTAGAAGGCAATTCCATAGAAGTATCAAAAATGAATGGGTTATGTAAATATTGACTAAAAAACTTTAGTTATAAATTTTCCGATTTGGAGGTGATAAATGCCATTCTGGCAAACGATAGTTTTATTCCAGTTGAACAGTTACAAACTATTCTAGAAATATAGTTGTAAACCTAAAATTAAAGCTGAACTAGGTTCATCTGTTTTCTGTATGATGTTTCCATTATTATTCTAAATCATCACTCTGCTAATAAATGCTACTCCTAAATATCTTAAATTTCTAAAACTATTAAAATTCCTAAAGTATAAAATTTCCTAAGACTAATGTGAATAGCTCCATGTTATCCCCTCCTTTAAATCAGAACAAAAATGCAGATGTAATCAGAACAAAAATGCAGATGTAATTTCGAAAAATTATGCAATTAAAAAAATCTTTACCTTCTGCTTGCTTCCAAGAACTTTAGTATCCGAGAAACTGGGCTCAACTAAAAGTATTTCTTCTAAATCGTTCACCATTTATACCTCGGATATGAAGTGAAATGAAGGTCACAGGCATACAATATTGTAATGGATACCAGTGTTGACATCTCTAAACTCTTGTTTCGTATACTTGACACTGTGCAGGGGTTGAAAACAGGGGCGTTCATCTTGTGTTGTCTTCTATTATCAGCGTTCATGACAGCGACGATTGTTCGCTAACATTCTTTTCTCATAAGAAAATAATAAAAAATGCCATATAGGTCAGTACATACAAGTTCGGATGATACATATTTTCAACATAAAACGAGACCTATATCTAAAGCGATAAAATATCACTTATTATGTTGCTATTGTATAGAGACATTCTTATGTTCTTAGTTTAAGGAAAGAATTAAGAACGGAATATTTGAATATTGGAGAAAATTCGTAAGGTGTTTGGAGAAGTATTCGAGATGCGAAAAAAAAATTTTAATTCCAATACTTAAATTTCTGCCCGTTTTTCTGCGTTCGAAGCTTAACTTTTAAATAAAATTAACAATAATAAAAATTAGAAAATCAACGTTTTAAATCAAAACCTTAGTAATACTAATTTTATTGGCGTTTAACAGAAGTTTTCATTAAAACAAGAATGCGTTTCTCAGGATATTCATAAATATACCCTCTGAAATATATATATTTACTCTTGCGAATATTATATTTTATAAATTTAGTATATATATATATATATATATATATATATATATTACTCTCTCGAAAATATATATATTTTCGAATACAAATCCTCTCGCGATCTTAAATACTGTATTTTTAATTTCTATATCGAATTCTGGGCTCTTTGTTTAATGCCCATTTACTCTTGAAATAATATCCTGTCCTGTATGCTAATTTGATTTAAGAAGATTCTGTAAACGTTTTTAAAAATTTCAATTGTTATTCACATATATTTTATCAAATTATTCTCAAAATGAATTATGAAAATAAACCTCAAAATTCAAAAGTTTTAATTACGTATTTAATTTACTAATTTTCATTTTTTTATTTCCTTAGTTAATAGGTATATTTTTAAAAATTGTACTCTTAAATTAATTTTTCATTAAAAGCAGATTTCAAATTTTGTTTAAATTTTTTAAAAGAACCAAAAGTGCTATTAGTCCCGAACTTCGCTTTTTTGTTCGTATTACTTCTTAAATTTTACCACCAAATATTATCGCCCTATATTATTTTTAAAGAAATGACATTGCGAATGTTAAAAAAAAGTAGCGAGCTACGGCCAAAGGAAAATTTATAAATTCTACTGCATAAAGATCTGCTAAAAAGACATAAAAAATGGCAACACTTTACACTGTACGGAACTAACTAGTATTACATAATATAACTTAGAAAAAAACATGGTCTATATTAGAAAAACATGTGATGTTTGTTAAGGTTGTTGCATTTTAAATGTTTTAAAAATGTACAATTGTAATGTAAAAATTTTAAATGTTTTAAATGTTTAAAAATGTATTTAAAAAATGTACAATTCGTAATAGAGAAAAAAAAAATTATCCAGAAAAATGAAAACTATTCACAGCGTAACACTTCATCATTATGTTAGTACCTCTGATTTAATAGTTTCCTGTACAAGAGGAATTCTCTTCTCCGTCTATTCTATGATAAACGGCTCACCAGCGGCCGAGCGGTAAAGACGCTGAACATTGGTAGTTCGGTCCGAAGTTCGAATCCCACGAACGGGCTGGCTGCAATGGGTGTTTTCGTGGTTTTCCCCATGTGTAACGTGTTTACGAGCCAGTTTCCCTTAGAAAGTCCTCCACGAAGGCATCCCTCCCTTTAGGCAGATAGCCCTTGTGTGCTTTGCCATAATTAAATAATCCAATCCAATCAATCTATGATACAGTCTGTATGTTAAAACAAAATAAACCAGTTGTTATCCTTTAACTACGAAATACATAAAAACGTGCAATCCGAAATGCAGATAACGATCCGAAACTGCTAATAAATCTGCTACTACTATCCATTAAAAATTTCAAAAACTAAAAACATATATAAATGCTAAAAATATTTAAAACAATTGTAAAATAAAAAATTTACGGCAATCTGATCTTCAATTCGTGTAGTAAAAAAGTAATAAATATGTGTAGATTTATTAAAAATTGGTTGCTGTTTAGTGTAATGCTTATGCAACCTATATACTTCAAGATTAATTAATGGTTAAAAATTAATTGCTGATTGGTATTATGCGTATGAAGCCTATCTACCTCGAGATTAACTGATAAGTAACCTCTACAAGTCTAAAAACGAAACCTCTGCTTGACTGGTAAGTGTTCCACTAGTAGCCGAGAATGCTGGGTTTTCGACATAGGTTCGATCTCAGTGACTAGCTTCGGGTTCGAACACGAGCGAATGGGAGGGCTACATGTGTGCTTTCGTGGTTTCCCCATGTGTAACGTGAATACGAGAGAGTTTGCCTTAGAAAATTGTTCACAAAAGAATCCGCCCTTTTATGCGGATAGCTTTTGCATACATTGCCATCTCTGAATAATCTAACTAGGAAAAGAAAAATTATCGGAAGATTCTGGCGGTATCTAGAAAATGCATTTTCTTGATTACTCTGTTTAAAACATTTAACATTGTTTCAATGATTTTTGTAACGAAATAATCATATTAGCTTGTTTTTAGAGTATAGAAAATTGAGGAAAAGGAATCTTAGAGCACAAATTTTGCGTGCTCACAAATGATTATCTTTACAAATCCCTTTTCTGACCCAAAAATTCAAAAATTGACACAGTGTTTCCATCAGCTTATAAAAAGTGACAAAAATATAATCATTAATTATGAAGGACAACATAACAGACATGATTCGAAGGTTTTTATAATTAATGAATCTTTGGAGATCATAATTTAGCCGAATCCACAGTCTGGAAGGCTATCAGTCGTTTAGAAGCGCATCAAATTTAAACAGATGTAGAATATTCCATGTAAGCGCTAAAAGGCATGATTTCGAGACTAAAAAATAAAGCCTTTTAGAAACTGAAAATGTAAAGCAAATACAGAAATAAGGTCAGTACCCTTTGCATTAAGAAAAAGAGATCAATGTTTTTATCTCTGACAGCCAATACAAACTGAGCTATGAACTAATTCTTCTGCAAATGGAAACTCGCAGAACTGTTGGCACAAATGTTTCAACACGAACATTTGGAAAATGGACTGTGCTTTGCTGTTCTGAAAGCAGAATTACGGTAGTTGTTCAGTGGCCGATCAATTCATTGGAGTTCCTAAGCACAACACTCTTTCATCTGCCCCAGTACACACTTTCTTTATTTTGCATTATATGAGTTAAAAAACAGGACTGTCAGAAACTACAAAATGATTTTAAGATCTTCTAAAACTTATGTTTACAACGAATTTTCTCCTTCCTTATTGCGTACCTGAAACGCACGTACGGCTACCAATCGAAAGGTCCAGAATTCAAATCCCCGAGAGGGCCCACAGTATTGCATATTTTTCATGTTTTCCAATGAAGTGTTCCAAGTGGCACCAAAACTAAAATATGTTGGATGATAATTCGTCACCCCCAGGATTTGGCGACTGAATCTCCTCCTTATTTGTTTTTAAAGTAATTTTCCTTTCCGCTTGCCTTCATAATGTAATAGAAAAGCACATCCGGCTAGTAATCGAAAAGCCCAGAGTTGGAATGCCGGCGAGGACACAGAACATTGCACATATTTCATGTTTCTTGCTTCCAAAACCCTAAAGGCTCTACTGGCGATAATTAGGTCTATTGTTTCGTTAATAGTGTGCTATCAGAAGGTGTTGTCCGAAGAAGAAAAGCAATATATAACAATGTTATCGTCTCAGACTAGTTAAGTTTAATGTCTATTCTGAAGAGAGCTAATTCATTAGATGGATGTCCATAACAGTGCTTTATTAGTGTAAAAAAGTGTTCCGACTTGGAAAAGATAAGCAGAGTTGACTAATATCTTTGTTAATGATTGATCTAAGTTATGCGTCATCAGAAATGGATTACAAGCTGTTCAATTGTTTAAGGATGCAATCCTTAGACCTTTTGCTGTTCTTTCCGCTGTGGCAAAGTGAATTCATTTTTGGACCCTAATTTGAACCCTTATGATTTATGGGATGATTTGTAACCACACAGCTTATGGTTGATTTAATATCACGCACCTTATAGTTAATACAAAACTTACTTTCTGATGAGGTAATCCTTCACGTGAAATGGTTCAAATGTTCTGCAGACATTAACTCATGCAACTTGCCTAGTACACTTTGGGGGAAAAGAGTTGATTGTCGATTATCATCTACACAAAGAATGAAACAACTGCAAACTGCTCTTCTGTAGGCGAGAACAAAAATATTTCAAGCTATTCTTAATGTTCACATCTCTTCTATGTTTTTCAACTGCACAATATTGACTTCTACAACGGAAAATCTGTCCTCACCCTTCTAAAAATAATAAACTTGCTCTACCAGTGACCAAGAAGTTAAAACTTCTGAATACTAAGCTCGATCCCAGGCGAACGAGTTGGCTATATGGTTGTCTTCGTCAGTCTCCCTCTAAAAGCCTTCCAAGAAGGCAACCCTGTTTTAAGCAGATAACTATAATATGCTTTGCCATATTCAAACAACCTAAGCTGATGATAAAAATATTTTTTCCTGGTTTTGATATGCATATGTGCATTAAAATACGCGTTTTCAAATTTGAAAAATGCACTAGAATTCAATCATTAATTGTTTAGTGCATATCTTTATTCTTCCGCTTAAAATTATAATAACTTTTGCAGAAAATATGAAGAACTTTCATGTAAAAATTATGCTCTTACCTCGTACCAAAAAATCGTAAACGCTTTAATTTCTGATAAAATGCATATTTAATGAAAAGGATCCTCAAATTCATAATGAAAACTGCTGCCATAACGATGTTCATAATGTCAAGAAACTCTAATTTTTAACATTGATGTTTTGCATAGTTTGCACAAAAGGAAAACTAATCTTTTTCTCATAGATTAGAATGCACATTCAACAACAGATGTGGCGATCTTATCATTTCGAATGGATTGAGGTCATCCAAATTCTTCGTATATTTGAAAATTTTCTGAATCTTCAATTTTTTTTCTATATTTTCTAAAAGACTGAGTGCACAATGATATTTCAAAACTAGTTAAACATTTCAAACATAAGTCAAGTTAATAGTGGACGTGCATAACATTT